CTTGCCTCTCCTGACATATGAAACCTGAGATAGGAGGACTCTGCAGTGTGAAGGGAATGAAGGATGTGCACTCAGAAGCAGGGGCTGTGCTGAGTTTGACACTTGGGATCTTGATCCCAGTGGCCCAACAAAGGCTGCTCTCGGACAAGCCATACCTCCCTAGAATGGGACAGAAGAAATGAACACAGTTCCTTCCTCCCAGAAAAATTTCCTGAACATCAGAAGAGCTCTGTTTTCTAAGGATAGAAACCTTAGAGGACCTTTTTTTCAGGTCTTAGGGGAACACCCAGCACTGTCAGCAGGGTTCCGAGGCCACAGGGCTCTCTGCCATTAACCTGTCAACTGTAATCGGTTTTGGCTCCTAGCAGTGACCCTCATTTGGGAGGAAAATAAAAGTGGAACCAAATGGGTGGCTATCTGTCCAGTAACATACAGAACTAGCTGGAACTTCAGCAAATTAATTTGGCTAAGTCTCAAGGTTCTCAACTCAAAAATGAAGGGAATTTGAACCACACCCTCTCTCTATGCTCTTTGGGATGTCTCTTTTCTATTTCACTGGGATGCTGGGAGGATAATTAGGCAAGGACTACAGAATATAATAAATTAAAAGATGTCATTCTTATAATCATCATTTATGGAATATTCCTCAGCTTGTATCTTAGGGACCTGCTAGCATTACTGGTCACATTTTTCACCCAGAGAAGCAAAGAAATGGAAAGTGTTCCATACTTGAGAGCTAGAATAGAGCTGTAGGTTAGGTTCTTAGTCCCTAGCTCACTGTTTATTTACCATACCCCTTGACTTTGTCATTTGGGGAAAAGGAACAGTTTCTGCTAAAAACCTTAAAAGCAAAGAGGTATCATTTTTGCCCAGAGAGAGGAGAAAGTTCTCCACAAAGTTCTGTTTTCCTATTTTTGTCTTTCGTTTTTGTTTTGGGCCATGTGTGTTTTTGTTCATTAGAGTCGCCATTTTTAAGTCTTATTAAAAATTGGCCTTTTCATAATTTTTGCCAGAAGAACATAATTTTTCATAATTTTTGCCAGAAGAAGTATATAATGTTTTCAAAATGTATCTTTTGACTTGAAAATACTACACATTCATGTAGAATTTGGAAAGCAACATATAAAAGTAGAAAAGAGAAGAAAAAAATTAACTGTACCATTAGCACTCACAGATAATAAGTGTACATTTTTAGTTTAGTTTATTTAGTAGTTTAGTTTATTTCTTACTAGTCTTTTTATATATAACTTTGGGATTATACTTGCAACACACACACGAGGTATCTTCTTGGAGTCATTAAATGTTCAGACCCACAGACAACCACATGCTACATTTGGCATTGGTCTACTTGGAAGGAACCATAGCTCGCCAGCAGGGAAACATCACGTGCTCCTTTCCAGCACGGGTCCTCACAGTGGTCCGGCAGAGCAGTATAGCTCAGGTGCAAGAGATCATAGACATATCAGAGGATGAAGGAGCCACTGTGGCTTAAAAGCCTCGTGCCCTGTAGGAGTCAGCATATGGTGTAGCAACTCCACAGACACAGCTTCCAAGGTCCCAGAGTCATTGCACTTAGAAGTCATAGCATGGCACCTCCTCGGGTAATTATAGTTCTCTGAGTCCAGATGCAATTCACCAATCAGGGGTTAATTTGGCCTAGCAACACAGTTGATACGTACCACCTTTTTCCTTTTTCTAGGGAAATAGACCCAGAAAATTAAGATATGGTCAGATTCTCTTGTGAAAGGGAGAAAGATTTTATACGCAATAGTATATACAATTTTTTTAGCCCTTAAAAAAAATCTTAACATTAAATCAAAACCATGTTTCATTGCTACTAAAGGTGTTTCAAAAACACGACTGCCTCACAATGCATTTATACAGGCCCCTAGTACTGTGTATTTAGCTAGTTCCAAGTTTTTCACGGAAACTATTGCCTAAATGAACATCCCCAAAACACAAATCCTTGTATTTATATAAAACTGATCATTTCCTTAACATAAATTCAGGGAATGGAATTACTGGCTGAGTCTGAAGTTTATCAACTCTTAATACATCTTTGACAAGCTACGCTTTAAAAAGAAAATAGTCTACACTTCAACTAGAACTGTATGAAAGTATCTACACCTTCGGCAACATGGCTCTCTGTCTTTAAAACATTTGGAAAATTTATAGGGGAAAATGCTGTACTTGTAAAAACTACTTTTCTTTGGATAATTGATGAGTTTAGAAATGTTTGCATGCACAGTCATTGTTTTGTTAATTGTCTATTCTTGCCCTTTCCCATTTTTATTTTGGGAAGCTCATTTTCTTAAGTATTAAGGATATTTACATTTGAGTCCTATATGCTGTAAACTTTTTGCAGTCTTTACTTTTTCTTTTGTTAGAAATGCTCATTTCTAGGTAGACAAATCTATCAATCTTTTTCTATATGCTTGCATCAATATTTGAAAGTGAGATTGTTTTTGCTATTGGGGGTGCTTTTGTGGATGTGCATGCACACTTTCTCAGTGTTTAAAATCCGTATTTTCTTGCTTTGTAATGTGCACTAAAAAGCTTTTTGTTTATTTTTAGGGCCTGGAACATTTTATAGAATTATGACTTTTCCATTCCTTGAAAGTTTGAAGGAATTTATACTATAGCTATGTGTCCTCAGTATATTTTGTGAGATAAATTTTAGACACGTTTAAAAAGTTTATTCTATCTTTATTCACTATTTGGATTTTCTACATCTTTTTAGGGCATTGTTAGTAAATTACCTTTTCATAAAATGTTACCAATTTTATTGAGGTGCAAGCACTTACTGGCACAGAATTGTAAATACAATTCAAATAAAAATACCATATAGACTTCTATAGGTTTATGTATTTTTCCTTATATGTATGTGTTTTAACTTTTTTTTTCTTTTTACTCCTGCCTTTCTTATATTAGACTATCTAGGGGGTTGCACATTCTACTTTTCTTTTTTTTTTTTTTAATTTTTTTTTCAACATTTATTTATTTTTGGGACAGAGAGAGACAGAGCATGAACGGGGGAGGGGCAGAGAGAGAGGGAGACACAGAATCAGAAACAGGCTCCAGGCTCTGAGCCATCAGCCCAGAGCCTGACGCGGGGCTCGAACTCACGGACCGCGAGATCGTGACCTGGCCGAAGTCGGACGCTTAACCGACTGCGCCACCCAGGCGCCCCTACACATTCTACTTTTCTAAGAATTAGCTCCTGATCTTATTTATTATTCTATTGTTTTCTGATTCACTAATTTTTTTGACCATAATTTTTAATAATAATCTGTCTCCCTTGCTTTACTTAATTTTTTTTTTTATGACAAAAACTGTAATTCCAAGAAGTCATTACAGGAGATTCTAGGCAATGGTATATCCTGGGACTAGGGAGAAGAGAGGAAAATAAGTTAAGTCAACGGATCACTTAGCGTCATGTCTGAATACACAAGAACATGATATGCTTCTGAGACAGAAAGAAACCAGGATGTGATTCTAGATGAAGCTGCGGTTCCAGGGTTTCCAAGTGGAATCTCATTCCCTTTATGTAGAGGAAGTTGCTCTGTGATCCTGAAGACGATGAAGAACAGTTTCCAGCCAGGCTCTTTGCTCCCCTACGTCTAAACACTTAGTACATGCCAGGCGCTGTGCCGAGTCATTCGTACGAACCATCTCATTCAAGTCTCATGACAACTCTATGAAATAGGGAGTCATATTCTCCCTATGTTTCATGGTGGGGGGTGGGGTGGGGTGGCCAACAGAGTGAGTGACTCGCCCAAAGTCACATAGACAGGATGTGAATCCAGCTGTGTCAGACTGCAGAGCTTGCGTTTTTAACCACTCTGATACACCACAGTTTTATTACCCCTGACCTTAATTGCAACAGCATGGTCTTATCATTTAAGGGAGGGTTTGTTGAGCCTAGGATCAATGATCAAAACGAACTTAAAGTCTATGACTCATTATACCCATATTATTTCTTCTCAAAATCCCATCCATTTCTCACCTTAAAGCAAGCAGATCACTTGCATAGAAAACAATACTTGAACTGAACGTCTGAGCGGTCAGTATATTTCTCAGCATGCCAGTCAATATTACCAAAAGAAAGGGGAAGGGAGAGAGTTGGGGGAGGCAGCTATTAGAAGAGAAAGGGGGGGGGGAATGATAACCGAGATTACATCCCAAAGAATCTGACCGTGTAGCATGTTCAGACATGCTACACAAAGTCATTTAAAACACAAAGTCATTTTACAAATTGAAATTAAAATGTCTAAGGATTCAATCAATTTACCAGATGATACAGGTCTGTGAATTTTATACTTTTGAAATGGTTTCCCTTGAGCATAGTCTGGCCATTTTTTTTTGCCCCCTCATGTGAGAGAAGAATGAAATAGAAGGAGGGTAAAGTTGCAACTGAATTGAATGTGATATAATGTGAACGTGGCCAGAGCCACCAAGAATGAATGACAGCAAACTTCAGGTCAGGTGATTTCTCTCTGGAAGTTCAGTCAGAACAGCAGGAGACACAAGCCCAGGGGATTCCATTCCACTCTGGTCCGATTCTTTCCATCAGTGCCGGCATCTACATTCAAGACCTCTCCTGAATAGACCCAATTCGCTGCATATTTTTTCAAGAGCACAGTAGCTGTTCTTAACATGTTAGCCAATCATGCCTGTCAATTTATGCCATTCACACATACTTTAAAAATGTGTGTGTGTGTGTATATGTATATATACATACATATACGTATATATATGTATAATTCAGATACCAAAAAGCAAAAGCCACCTATAAAAGACGAGACCCATGTTCATGAGATTTTTATGCAGAACTCCATTCACTGTTTTGGCTGAAACAGGACACCCCCGTTCCCCGCACCCCCCTCCTCCCCCGTTAGACTGCTGGTGAATGCCCAGGAAGGGAGGAAAGAGGAGAAAAGGCAGACAGGAAATGTTATTTAGTATCTGACAGTAAAAAAGGAAGTCGATTCTGTACTTACAATAGCAGTCGGAGTGGCAGCCAGCACACAATAGAGCACCAGAGGGGTGATGAAGCTTTCTTCCTCTGTCCCCGGGTAAGGCTTCATTAAGTCTCCGTCCTGACAGAAGAATCCTTGGATATGCACCTGAAAAGTGTCAGTGCATTCGAAGTAGTAGGCAAGCAGCACTGTCCCAGCCATGATGACAAGCTGAAAATACAGCATGGCCACACAGAGACATTAGCAGGTCTTCGGAGCCGCGTTTGCCCCTCAGAGCACACTCCCTCCATCACCCCAGCAGCTTTCCTCTGTTGGTATTGGCGAGTGTGTGCGTGCCTGGCTCAGCGTGCTCTGGGCTCAGGGAGGGTGTGCTTGCTTGTCTGCCTTGTAACATCTGTTCTAGAAACCTCCCAGAAAATAATTAACGGCTCCCATCTGAAAGGCAGACCCCAGCAAGGCTTATAGAGAGACCCAGCTTCTGCTGCCACCCTCTCAGAGGAAGCACGGGAGCCAAGGTAATATTTCCATTCAGGACAGAGGGGAAAAGTCAAAGGGCAGCGGCATAAGAATTGGCAAGATGTAGATGTGAGAGCTGTTCACGAGAAAGCTCATGAAATAGTAGAGATAAACTTGCCTTATTATAAAATGTTAGAGGCAGGTAAATCATGAATGAATAAACCAATGCACAGGAAAGCTAAAACCTGGAAAGGTTGAGGCAGGTTTTCAGAACCACACCCTTCATTTTTGGCAGGGAGGAACACAGTACAGGCGGCCTGTATCAGTCACGGCTGTTACCTTTTCCAAAAAGGTTTTACGTTTATTCCAAAATGCTTTCCCCCAGTAAATCCAGGACTTTCCTGATAACATCTTATTATAGACACAGATCGTTCCTAAGGTTTAGACATAAAAAGGGACATAATTATCCTTTAATTCTGACTCACGAATGTCCCACTCACTGAGGTTTAGATGTAGCCTTTCGTAGGTATGAGAGGTTGAGCGAATACAGAAATGTCGACATTCATTGTCTCATTCATATTTGGAAACACCAAAGTACCAGGATAAGATGGTTATAAAGGTAGATAGAAAACAGATTTTTGAGGTTATGAGACTACAGAAAATTAAGCTGAAAGGGTTCTTGGAGATATTCCCGTCTCAAACCTTTATATTTCATAGATGAGAAGGCTGAGTGGGGAACTGGCCACTGCTGAATTATCCAACAAGTAAGCTAAACACGTACTTAGGTTGAGAATCAGCAAAGTAGGGAAACTAAAATGGAGACAAAGTATCTTAAAGTGTTGTTTTTTTTTAAAAAGTATCAAAATAATCATTATGGAATAAAATCAGAACTTGGGAGGACATGTTTGTACATCGTTTATGGCTTAAAATTGTTTTGACTTGGAAGTACCTATGGGTCAATGAGGGAGAAGGAAAGGTTTAGGAAATCTAAAGTTCTAAATCTAAAGCTGGAATCTTAAAATCTAAAGCCCTGGAATGACTAACCTAAGGTCATGATAGCTAGTTTGTGTAAGTCTGGGACTAGAAACCCACATTTTCTGATCCTCAGAGGAAAAAAAATACCTGTATTATGGCATCAAAATTTCGTTCTACACAAAAGCCTGGAGAGTTACGGGGCGGAGGACAGGCTCGACTCTAACGGCAGTCTTACCTATTTCATATCCATTTCTTTAGCCACAACATAGCAGAGAAGCCTTACACTCTGCCCACTCTCTGAAACCAGGCACAGCCTCTACTTCCGGGAAATTATTTCTGCAGTTTCTCCTTCTTATAGCTGAAAGCATTCAGAAACTCCTATCCATTCTTCTATAAAGGTCTTTTACCTTTTGGCCTCATCCATTGCCACCTTCCTTTACCTTCAGGTAGGTCATAGATCATACTTTCCGTTTGTTGTCCTTCATACACGACTTCTCTCTGGTTGTATATGAATGATATTTTACCATCTGGCATTTTCTGTCCCTCTTCCCCAGAGGACCTGCTGTCACAACTTCTGACCATCTAGTAATCTCTGGACACTCCTGTGTGTTTCTCTGCACCTGAAGTTATTTCTTGGCACCACATGTAAATCACCAGTGCTCAGGCCAGCCATCTCTGCTGTTTCAGCACTTTGTTTCTTTTCTCTTTAGCCACAGAGAGATTTGGATTAGTTTGTTTCCCGTAAGAGTGAGAGAGAGGTACTCCAAAGCTGCCCTTGCTAACAGGTGTTCCTGTTGGCTGCTAGTTTATGAAGTCAAGGCCATGAAGTTTCTCTTTTGTGCTTCACTGGTCAACTGAGATGACCTGATGGGAAGGAACCTAGCCAGCTGACCTGAATGTTCTGGAGCTGAGAACACACTATGATTGCAATAGTGTTGGGACTTTACCTCCAGGGCTACCTGTGCCTCCTGCACAGGCCTGATCTGGGATTTCTTTGTATATCCTCCATGTGGCTGGAAACATATTTCTGTCTCTTGGCTTCATCAGCCCTTGGGGAATAACTGCTTGGAGAACAGGCAGGATCTATGGGAGCTTTTGGATACAACAAAACCCAAAAATGGCAGCTAGCCCCCTCTATTGAGGACAAGTGTCCTATTTTACTGGGTGCCTTTGTGCTACCACCTCCATTTGAAAAAGGTCAAGATGAAAGTGAAGTAAACAAAAGCAAAAACATACGTAGGTAAAACGACTCATTAGAAAAACGTAGAATAGAAACTTTTAGAACATAGACTGTCCTAACTTCAAATACATCAAAATCAACAATAATGACAACAACACAAAAGCTAAGGTCAATATGCCCAAATTTGAAATCTATAGAACAAACCTTGAATAACTGCCTGGCCAATGAATCCTGGAAGCAACATTCAGAGAGAACTGAATTAATGCACAAATCAGTTAATTGCAGGGCATAAAGTAAAGAACAGAGAACCTGGGAGGCTCAGGGGAGTAGAGGTAGGTGGGAACTTTGGAGCCTCCTGGACAGAAGGGACCTATCAGCATAAGTCTGTTTACTCTGCTCCGACTCCCTGACCAGCCAGAAACCCCTGCCTGTCATTTTCAAGTAATCCCCAGACTCCCTGGAGAGTCCCCAGTTATGCCAGTTAGAGATGCACAGAAGCAAAAACAGAACAATTCGGATCTTGATTTCTAGGTTTCCTTTCTATTGAACATTCTCTCATGACCACATATCAAAAAGAAGCTTTGCATTTACTGCAGGAACAGAAATGCCGTCCTGGTTCTGCTTCCGTGAACAGAGAGGTCCGCCTTGCAGCTCTGATGACGGTGCACAATTAGCCATCAGCATCCTCCCTTCTTCCTCTCTGTCCTGGGCTGTGATTCATCGCTGTCTAGGTTTGTGTCACTGGTGCCAGCTGGCACGCTCACCATCTCTGTTGCCTTCTCCAGCCCCATTTAGGGATGCATGGAGGGAGGCCATAATGTTGGTGTCACATGAGCAGATGGTGAAGCTGTGCTGGACCCAAGTGCTGGTGGAGGGCTGATATCGGTGTGAAAGGCGCAATTATGGCTGTGGGGGGAAGGAGTTCATGTACCAGGGGTTTTCCTCAGCTTCAGTTCGCAAGAATGACAATCCGATATTCGAAAACACATCAAATCCTGACCCATCCGCAAGGATTCAGAAGGCAGAAGACAGCAATATCTGAAATTCTGCCTCTCAGGGTTGAGAGACCTGTGTTTCTATCCTCTGCTGATTAGAGAAAAGTGATTATTGGAAAGAATGGTAATGGGGAAGGTCACAAAGCTGGGGGGAAAGGCTGAGATGACAGTACATTTTCCTTTGGTCTGTTAAGTCTGGGGCAATTGTGGACCACTAGTTTACATGACCTGATACAGGCCACAAGAGTGGGGGAACATGGGGTGCCTGGGTGGCTCAGTCAGTGTCTGACTTCGGCTCAGGTCATGATCTCGCGGTTCACGGGTTCAAGCCTTGCACTGGGCTCTGTGCTGACAGTGTGGAGCCTGCCTGGGATTGTCTCTCTTCGCTTTTCTCTCTGCCCCACCTCAAAATAAATAAATAAACTTAAAAAAAAAAAAAAGCAGTGGGGGATCAGGTAATGATGGTATGACTCATGAGAGTGAGTGAATGTGAGTATGTCTGTTGTGCAGGAGCATGTAGGCAGACATGTGAGGTTGGACAATGAGAGGGCTGGTATCTGGTCTAGAGTGTTTGGGCATATCTGAAACTGGGGAAGCCTAGTCTAGGTGACCAACCATCTCAGTTTGCCCAGGATTGAGGGGTCTCAGGGTGCATGGGACCTTTCAGTGCTAAAACCAAGATAGTCCTAAACTAACCGAGGTGCTAGGTCACTCCACCAGAGGCAACAAATGTTTCCCTCTCCAAAGAGGTTTCTCATTCTGGTTTTGCCAGGACCTATCAAGACTACTGCAAATTAATCAGTCAACCCACAACTGTTTGTGGGAGCCGCCCCTATGTTCAATCCTGAACTAAGTGCTGTGAAGGTGCAGAATTCTCAGACATGCTCTTTAACGTCAAAGAGTTTGTGATCCAGCTGGGGAGTGCTCACCAACACAGGAAACAGACAATGGTCTATAGATCTGTAGGAGGGGGTCAGCTAATCCCAAGGTGGGGTTTGCACATGGCTGCCTGTGCCTGGTGAGCTGGTAGGGAGGGAGTTGGCAGAGGAGTAGGTAAAGGGCTGAGGCCTGGAGAAAAGAGCACAAGGGGATGGACAGGGCAGCATGGTGTCTGTTTAGGGGATTGGTTTTGACTAAGCCCCATGGACATATGTGCAATTCCAAAGAGAGAGGGGATAAAGGAAACTCAGCAGAAGGAACACTGCATCAGAGCTTAGATGATAGGATTCTGCAGGGTTGCGATGCAGAACCAATGTCTTAGGACCCCAGGAAAGAGTACACTTTAAGGACTCACATGTTTTTCATATTAAGAGAGAGCAAGCCAGACACAGGTGCCACTAGCGGCACACAAGGGCTGGGGTGGGAAACCCGCAGGTGGCATGAATGGAAGTGGGACCTGAGGTAGTACGCTGGAGGGGAAACGTGACAAAACCGGTCTTGAGCCCTTGTGAGACCTCCAGGGCACCTCTAAACGTAGGTGTGATCCTTTGAGAGGGGATGGAAGTTCCCCACAAATAACAGAGGCAAGAGCCAAGAAGGAAGGGGAGGAGATGGTGATGGGAAGGGTGATGATATATATGATGCGTATGTCCCAGGAACGGCTC